TTTCAAATTACTGCCTAAGTAATCTTCCTAACATAGTGCTCTCCTTTTGTTATGCAACTATGCAAACAAACAAACAAACAAACAAAAAACTTTAGCAGTTTCACATTGGGAATCAGATAAGATGAGTAGTCACAACCCTGGCATTCAAAGCTTTCCACATTCTGACTCCAGTGTGGTTTTCACACTTACCTTCTACTCTTGAACTGTCTGATCCAAATTCAACATATCCAAAACAAAATTAATTATCTTTTTCCTAAAACCCATTTCTTTGTCTGAACTTCCCTCTTTCTGTCTAAAGTACCACCATTCTCCTAGTTTGCCCAGGCTCTCAATCTCGGTGCCATTTTCTATTTGCCATCCTCAGTTGACCCCTATATCCAATCCATTGCCAAATCTTGTCCTTTCTACCTTCACGTCATCTATGTCATCTTCTTTCTACTTATATAGCCTCTGCTCTGGCTTACGTCCTCATCATCTCTTGCTTGACCTATCACAATAGCATCCTAAATGGTCTCCTTGCCAGAAGTCTTTCCTCTTTCCAACTCATTCTCCATCCAGATACCAAAGTATTTTCTTTAAGTGTAGCTTTGCGCATGTCATCTTGTCCCCTGACTCAGTCCTCCCCCTTACCCTTTGGATAAAACAGAAAGTGCTGTTTGTCCTTTAAAGATCTTTATAATCTGGCTTCTTCCAATCTTCCCAGTTTTTTTTATCCTTTATTCCTCTCCATGAGCTCTGATTATCAAATACTAGCCTAATTGCTGTTTCTTATACATGAAACTCAATTTCTCCAGTCTCTTGCACTGCCCGTCCCCCAGTCTTGAAACAGTCAGCCCCATGGTTTCTCTGGCTTCCTTTAAGTCTCAGCTCAAATTCCATAATCTGCAGGAATAATAATAATAGCTAAGATTTATATAATGCCTACTCCGTGACAGGCACTGCGCTCTAAGCACTTTATAAATATTATCTCATTTGAGCTTCATAACAACACTGGGAGGTAGATACTATTATTATCCCCATTTTCAGTTGAGGAAATGGAGGCAAACAGAGGTTAAGTGACTTGTCCAGGGTCACACAGCCAGTAAATATCTGAGGATGGATTTGAATTCAGGTCTTTAGACCCTGGTCTCAATTCACTATGCCTCTAGCTGCACCAAAAAGGGCAAATTTTCCTTTCTGGTTCCCTTTGCTCCTTTGAATATCTCTTGTATGTACCTATATGTATTCATGATGCACATTCCCATGTCCATTATTGCCTGGCACATAGTAGGCACTTAATACCTGTTTGTTGATTTTTGATTGATTGATAGAATGTGAATTTCCTGAGGACAAAAGGGCTATGTTTTTGCCTTTCTTTGTATCCTCAACACTTAGCATAGTGTTTAGCATATAGCCGGGGCACTTAATAAATGTTTGTTGACTGACTGCTTCTTATCACATATTTTATATTCTACCCAAACTGGACTATTCTGTCTCTTTTTAAGAAAAAATTAAATTGTAAGTTCCTTGAGAACAGAATTTATAAATTCTATGTTGGCATATTGCCCAGTGCATTGCATGCATGTCAGCATGTTAAGGCTTGTGGCGATTTTGTTGTGGCAATTCCTGGGGGTGGGGAATTCTCTCTGTCAATGAAAATCAAAATCATTCTGTAACTTAGAACCTCAGATAGTTGCTGGAGCTCAGAGACAGTGTTTTTTGCTCACGTTTACAGAGAAAGGATTTGAAACCCAACTCAAGTCCAATCCTCTGTCTACTCTGCCATGTCCTGCTTTTTATCTTGTACATAGTAGGTGCTTATTTATCAAATTCATCCCCTTGATCAAATCACAGGCTATTAAAAACAAAAATAATACCTTAAATTATATGCTGCTTTATAGTCTACATAATACTTTAATATTCTTTCCCCTTTCTTCAAGGCTCAATGTTGGTATTCCCCTTCTTTGTGGAACTCTGATCCCTTCCCTCAAAACCTGCCTTGTTACCTGAGGATTCTTGACCATTCTTCTTCCTTTCCAGTCCCATGTTCTTACCTACTCCTATCTGTTACCATTTCTTTTGTTCCATCTGTTTCTCTGGTGCTACAGATCTCATGACATTCCACATTTCTTTCTCTTTCCTAGGCCAAAACTCACAAACTGTGATGTTCTGTAGAAAGGAATATTTCTGATCACTTTCCTATGAAGGAGATGTAATATAGTAGAAAAATAAGGGTTAAAATGCCAACAACAATTTGGAATTATGCAAAGAGACTAACTATATTCGTACACTTTGACCAGAGATGCCATTACTAGACTTATATCTAAAGGAGGTCATTGATAAAAAAAAAAAGTACCCATATATGCCAAAATACTGAAACACTTTTTATGGTAGCAAAGAATTTGAAAGAAAGTAGACGCCTATCAATTCAGGAATGGCTAAATAAATTGTGATGTGAAAGTGATGGAAGCTTTCTGTGAGGTAAGACATGACATGTGATGAACAAAAGGTGCATGGAAAAGACTCATATGAATGGATACAAGAGAAAGTAACCAGAGCCCAGGAAAACAATGTACCCAATGTCTGTAACAATGTAAAGGGAAAGACTTTTGAAGCAGAAGGCCGGCAAATTGTAAAGTATAATCTTGACCTCAAAGAAGAGACATGAAAAGATTATTCTGCTGCTTTGCAGGAGGGGTTGAGGTCTATGGATATAGGACATTATATGCAACATCAGATTTTTTTGATGTATTGATCCAATTTACTGATTTTTTCCTCCTTCCTTTTTTTCTTTAAAAAACCAAATTATTTATTATGAGATGGTTCTTGGGGTGGGGAGCAGTTAAGAAATATAGGGGAGAAATATAGAGGAAAATCTAGGTTAAATAAGAACAAAAGATGTCAATTATTTTAAAATATTTTAAAAAGAAATAAAGAATGATGCTCCTTCTGCTCATAGTGGGTAATACAGGGACTTCTATAACTTTTGAAAATATAATTTATTGAAGTATAAAGTGAATATAATTTTTTCCCCTTTCACACAGGGTATCATTTCTGGAGTTTTAAAATCTTCAAAGTTTGATAGTAACTAGAAGGAAACAAAAAGTCATATCATTGTTCTAAAGGTGGTTAATAATGGCCTTGTTATTTTCTAGAGGAATAGTAGTTTGTTAAAATTTGTTTTGGTGTAAATTTTTTTTTTAAGGCAATTGGGGTTAAGTGACTTGCCCAGGGTCATGCAGCTAGTAAGTGTCAAGTGTTTGGTCTGAGGCTGGATTTGAACTCTGGTCCCCCTGACTTCAGGGCCAATGCTCTATCCACTACTTCACCTAGCTGCCCCTTGGTGTGAAGTTTTTGATATTTGGTTATGGATGTGGTGTTGTGGTCTCTTAGAAATGATCAGATATAGGTCAGAGACATGGGTTCAAATTCCAGTTAAGTTACTTAATGTAGGTATAGCTTTGGCTAGGCCACTTCTGTTTTACCCTCAGTTTCTTCGCCTGTAAAATGAGGATTTTGGACTTGAAGATTCCTCTACCTCTATGATCCTGGGTTGGTGGTGGGAATAAATAAAGAGTAAACTATTTGACTTAGTGGCAGTAGATGTTTAAATGAAAGTTTTAGTCAGCATTTAGTCATATTTACTTCAAATCTGAATTCTCTATCATTATGCTATTATTAGAATGGATTGAGTGTTGGGCTTATAGCATCACGAATACTTGGGTTCAAATCCCTCTGAAGATATGTATGACCCTGGGCAAGTCGCTACAAACCTCTCTCTAACTGGAGCAATTTTCTAAGTCTTATCTAGGCAGTCATAGATAGATTGGGATCTGTCAGTGGGATCTATGTTGAAAGGAGTTCCCACAATAGATGCTTCCTGTTGTGACAAAATCATAGAGTCTTCTTGTATTCTTGTATGTTAATGCTGGATGGAGAAAAAAAGAATTAATTTGTGATTGCTGCAAGTTCCATTTTCAGGATCTCAAGTTAGTGAGTTCAGACTCAAAGAAGGGATGAGAAGATGCAAACAGTGATATATTAGCAGATATTAGAAAGCCCTGAAGAGCCATATGGGGCCTTATGAGTAATCAAACAGGCATTATTGAAGCCAAACTGATGAACTCAGTAGACATTTCAGAATTATGCAAATCTCCTTTCCTTTCATGTCGTTTGTTGGAAGAGACAGAATGGTACTTTGGACAGAACACTGCACCTAGAGTCAGAAGACCTAGGTTGGAATCCTGGACTCGCCACTGATACCCTTGAATAGATCATTTCATTTCCTTGTGCCTTAGTTTCTTCATTAGTAAAATGAATGGGTTGGATTAGACAGCCTTTAACATCTCTTCCAGCTCTAAATCTAGGATCTCTTTGTGGTCCTTTGAGAAGGCAGAAGTGGCATGTCTTTCACAGGTAGATTTGAGTACCAGGACACGATGTGCCAGATAGAGAGAGAACCAGTGCCTTTACCTGGAACTCAGATAAAAGTAAAACCTATCAATCCAAAGTACCCAGGAAAAGGAAGGAATAAGCACACAAACCTGCCAAGGTCAAGCAGAAACTGCCCTCAAAAAATGGTGTTAGAGAAACCAATCAATTCCATTATTTTTTTTTTTAAAGGATGGCACATTATTTCCTCAGGGAGTTGTGAGGATGTCTTGGTACCATATAGAAGATAAAGAACTGCATTTTCAAGGACTGAATTTTTCTATGCTTTCCAAGTAGACAAAATTTACTTCTGACTCACCCATCATGTCAGCTCCAAATGTGTTTGTGTGTATAGACATTTTACATTTTATGGAAAACTAGGTTAAAAGTATTTAAAAATTACAACATTGAAAAATCTGCAATGCAGCTCCCTGAGGATTCATGACAGAATGTTACCAATTGACACAGTAACTTTTTATAAGTCTATAGTTGAAGAAGTATTTAATTTTATTACTCTCAGAGCCACAGTTTCCCTTTTTTCTCTGTAATGTACCCTTTTGATGCATTTGCATATTTTTGTCTTTTGACAGTGTTTTCACAAATGGGAATCTATTCATTCCACCTGCAAAATTAATTATACCCAGATTCACTCTATATGATTGGGATAATGTCCTGGCCATGATTGGAGAAAAAATTCACCCCATCTCAGGGGGTGTGCGAAGGTAAGGAATGTAGTGACCCCATAACGCAACCCAGAGGTCAGAGGAATTGTCTTCATGTTTCCAAGAAAGATTCTCCTACATAGCTTAAAATATCTTCATCCTGTAATTTTGGAGACTGGCCTTTTGGTCAATCAATCAATAAGCATTTGTTAATTGCCTACTATATTCCAGGCACTGCACTAAGTGCTAGGGTTACAAAGAAAGGTAAAAGACAGTCCCTGCTCTCAAGGAGCTCACAGTCTAATGGTAGAGGTGGGGAATGGAGGGGTGGGAGTGGGGAGAGATGACATGCAAACGAGCTCTATATGGGATAAATTGGGGATAATCTCAGAGTGAGGACATTAGAACTAACGGGGATTAGGACAAGCTTCCTATATAAAGTGAGATTTTTATTTGGGACTTTTGGCTGAGTTCCTTCTTGTTGTATAGACTATATACATATATTCTATACTATATGTGTGTGTATGTGTGTGTGTGTGTGTGTGTGTATACACGCACACACGTACAGTATGGTATGGGATGCTTTCTCTTGAATTTCTTGAATTAGCCCTCTATTTCTCCTGAATCAGTCTCCAAAGCAGTTAATGATATTTATCTTTGTTTTTGTTATGCAAAGTCCTCCTAGGAATAAAAAGGAAGCAGGCAAAATTGATTTACAGTCAAGATTCTTTCATTAATTCAGCATATCTGCATGCACATGTATATATCTATATCTATCTATGATTATCTATATCTATATATATGAATATCTATGAATAATTCTTAAGACACAAAGAAAAGGGACATGTAGTGTAATGGTCATATAGTTGGACTTGAATTTGGCTTTTTGGCTAGGAATTTCCTACCAAAAAATGAAATGACAGGTCCAGATTAAAAAATAAAGTTACCTTGGTCAACATGCTCATTTTACAGATAAGGAAGCTAAGACACAGGGAAGAAAGGTAACTTGTTTATAGTCCCTTAGCTAGTGTTGGTGCCAGGATCCAAAGCTTGGTCTTCTGACTAAGACTAGCACTCTTAGAAGAGAACTGGAAAGCTTAGAACCTGAGAGCCTGGGAGAACAGTGGAGCTAATAATATCCACTTGGAATCTGGGAGGAGGAACTAGTTAGGCATAGAGAAATGAAGAGATAATTAAAAACAGTAAAGGAGTTAAGATTAGAGACCAGTTTCCTGAGTCCCCCTGATGCTTTTTCATGGTACTGTGGCATCTCTTTACTTATTAATATAATAACCTCCTGACTCCAATCTTGTCCCTCTCCATCATTCTCACAACTTCCAGATTAATCTTCCTAAGGAACAGTTTAGATCATGTCATTCTTCCTCCCCTCACCCTTAAAAATCTTCAGTGGCTTCCTGTTGCCTACCAAATCAAATATAAACTCCTTTTCCTGGTTTTCAATGACTTCCATGCTCTGACCCCAGTATCACAGAATTATAGAATCACAGAATTTGATGGAAGGCACTCCAGCAGCTATATAATCCATCCATACATAAAAGGAATCCCTACTATAATATACCTGGCAAGTGGCCATTTAGTTTCTCCTTGAATGAATGAAAAATATTTAAGTGTTTAATATGTGCAAAGCACTGCCTTAAGCATGGGATACACAAATAAAAAGCCAGACAGTGAACACATGAAGTGGTAAAACATATGGCAATATCTTCTTGAATATCATCTCCATTAACAAATCCATATAATTTTCTGATGTTGAATCATTTGACAGTGCCAAGGACTTTTGTGTCAAGGCCTGACTGGGTCTTCTTTAGATGTGGCTGCCCAAGAAATGGGGGTTTGCAGCACTTGCAGAGGAAGGAAGTTGCCAGGGCATAATTTCCACAATTTCTTCCCTAAACTGACTGCAGGGGCTAGACTAAAAGTTGGGCTAGTGGTCTTGGGGATGATGCCACTCCCAGGACTCTTGTGTTTTTACCTGTCTATCAGTGTCAGTTGGGTGGTGGTGGCAGGGATGCTAGATTCTTTGTCCACAAGGATTACTCCACTTGATGATGGCTGTAAGGGCAAAGTTGGGTGATCTTGCTATTCCAGGGACTTTTGGTTTAGGGCATTGCACTGTCTCTACCAGGATTTGATAGGATGTGGTAGTTGCAATGATTTTACCCATCTGGCACATGTTGCTTCCTCTTTCTTCCATACGGTGCTTTGTAGTTGGTTAGCACTTGGCATTGGTAGCAGTAATAGGAATGACAAGCCCTTTCTTCACAAGCCCTTGGATGGTGGTTGCTGGAGCCAGACTGAAAGCAGGGCCATTGTTCTGGGTATGCTACTGTTCCTGGGGTTCTTGGACTTACCTGACTGTCAGTGACTATTGATTAGATGGTATATGTTGGTAAGGTTGTTCTTTTGCACAAGGGTGGTCTGGAAGGTACTGTTATTTCTGGGACTCTTGGGCTCAGGGTCCTGAACTATCTCCACTAGAGACTGAGAGGAGAAGGAATTAATGATGTGTTGCAAATCTTAAAGTACCATGCAAATGCTGGTAATAATAACAATAATAATTATTGTGGTGGTTTGAACCATTTGACACATGTTACCTAGTTTTCTCTTACTCAGGGAACCTTGCTACTTCAGCTAGGCTGACTTGTCTGCCCTATAGGAGTCTTGAAGAATTCTAAGGAGGGCTCAGGTGGCAATCCATTAATTTTTGAAGTATTCCATTGCACTTTTGGCCAGCTCTAGATCATGATTCCTCTAAAGATGTCTCATTCCCTGAACCAGGTCAACATCCTCATTTTACAGATAACGGAGCTAAAGCACAGGGAAGCGAAGTAACTTGCTCACAATCACTTAGCTAGTGTTGGTGCCAGAATCCAAAAGTTCCCATCTTCTACTTTTGGGACATTGTAAAGACTATCCCCAAAGCCTAAAATCACAGGCACATGCAGGACATTTTCATTAGGATACACATCCATGATATCTTATTTTTAAACATGTAAAATATTTTTATTTTTAAAGAAACTAAGATAGCTAAATAACTAAAAAACCTAACCCTAACAACTTAATTACTTAAAACCAAAACTTTGCAAAGGGGTATTGTTAATCAAATCTTTCCCTTTCCCCTAAAAGTATGGAAAAACATTTTTAGCTGTATCTTCCTCTTAAAATTTTTTTTTCCAATTACAAACTTAGCTAAACAATTTAAAAAAAGAACAACTGAGATGCTTAAAAATAAAACTTTACAAAGGCCTTCTGTCAATCTAGACCTTCATCTTCCCCTAAAATATAGAACAGCCTTTTCAGTCCTTATCTAATTGGTTAAAAACATTTTTTTTCTGTTGTATTCTGCACTCTAACCCTGCACTTTGACATGAAGCATCAGTGGTAGAGTTTAAGGGATAATGACTATGCATCTTTTTAAAATGTAAAACTTTAACCTTTTTGCTTTTCTCATGCATACCAACCAGAGGTTCAGGGCCACTTAGCATGAGCTGAATCATGAAAAACAAAGTGGTCAGAGGAGTCAAAGGGGAACAAAAATGTTTTGATTTTTCCTTGCCTGGGAAGCGGTAGATTCAAGTTCTCCTGGGGGTAGGAAGAAGGATGGAAACCAGCCCAGATGTGACAGAAATGACTTCATCAAAAAGAAATGTCACTGGAGGAGGTGAGGCAGCACGATGCAGAGCATCTGGAAGGAGGCTTATCGAGGGGGTCTGGACCGCAGGGGATGACCAAGTCACTTGAGATGCCTCCTTCTTCTTGCATCAGCATCTCTTGGGAGTAAAAGAAGGGAAAAAATGGAAAGCTGAGGAAGGAAGTTGTAGTTTTTGAAGCAACCGACAGTCCACAGAGACTGGGAGAACCTTTCTCCAGTCGGCGTGGTTTTCCCCCACCTCTCCTCTCAGCTCTAGATCATAGGTAGCCCCTTTGAGTGAGCGGCAGTTTGGATGTGTGTGAATACAAGTTATATTAACCCTATGCCTGGAATATAATACTTTCTGTTCTCTACCTCCTGGAATCCTTAACTTCCTTCAGAGTGTACATTAGACATCACCCGCTCTAAGAAGCCTTTTCCGACCCCCTCCCCAATTGTTAGTGCTTCATCCTTCATTAAATGGTATTGTGTTTACTTTTATGTACCTATGGAAGGTCCTTGAGGTAAGGGACTTTCTCCAAACCTAGTGTACTGTCTTAAAAAAAACCTGGATCTATAATTTCATCTGTGTGGGAAACTTCTAGTGAGTACTGCCTCTACTAGCGCAGATTGGCAACTCATCTATAATTTATAATCTTAGACCGTTGCCTGAGGTTAAGTGAATTGTACATAGTCACATAACTATTATGTGCCAGAAACAGGACTCATACTCATTAAATGCTTATTGAATTAAATTGAAGTGTTTCTTTTTCCTTCCCCTACCATATGTTACCTATTGAAATCTTATTCATCCTTTAAGGTTTAGTTCACATAGTACCTCCTTCCCTGATTGTCCCCCAACTGGATGTGATTTCCTCATCCTTTGATTCTTAGCAGTACTTTGTATAGTGTTGATGGTACTTTGTGTTCTAGAGTTACTTTTATTTTCAGTTTTGTTTTCACAACTACAGTGTATATTCCTTGACAAAGGTATTTATATTCATTTTTAAAATTCACCCAGCAATGAGTAGAATCCCTTTTACACAAAGTATGTGAATGAATGAATAATTTATTGGGGGGAAAATTCCTGAGTGAAATTGAGGATGATGTGATTTCATCAGAATTCATGAAAAGTACATCACTTTGTCATATAAGCATTTTAAAAATTGAATAGCTTTTTTTGACCTTTAATTTTAATTTTATTTTTCTCAATTACATGTAAACAAAAAATTTTGACATTTATTTTTTTTTTAAATTTTGAGTTCTAAATTCTCTCCCTCCCTCCCCTTCCCCTGCTTGAGAAGGCAAGCAATTTGATATAGATTATATGTGTGCAATCATGCAGACCATTTCCATATTAGCCATGTTGCAAAAGAAAACACAGACCAAAAACCAAGAATAGTCAAGTAAAAAAAAACTTGTTTCTATCTGCATTCCGACTCCATCACTTCTTTCTCTGGAGGTGGATAGCATTTTTCATGATAAGTCCTTTGGAATTGTTTTGGATCATTTTATTTGCATTGTATTGCTGAGAATAACCAAGTCATTCACAGTTGATCATCATTACAATATTGCTGTTACTGTATACAATGTTCTCCTGATTCTGCTCACTTCACTTTGCATCAGTTTCATATAAGTCTTCCCAGGTTTTTCCGAAACTACACCCTCATCATTTCTTATGATGCAATAGTATTCTATCACACTCATATACCACAACTTGTTCAGCCATTCCCCAAATATCCCCTCAATTTTCAAGTTTTTGTCACCACAAAAAGAGCTTTTATAAAATTTTTTTTGTACATATGAGTCCTTTCCCTTTGAACTCTTTGGGGGTATAGACCTAGTAGTGCTATTGCTGAGCTAAAGGGTATGCACAGTTTTATAGCCCTTTGGGCATAGTTCCAAATTGCTCTCCAGAATGGTTGGATCAGTTCACAACTCCACTGACAATACATTAGTGTCTCCATTTCCCCATATCCCCTCCAGCATTTGTCATTTTCCTTTTCTGTCATATTAGCCAATTCTGATAGGTGTGAGGTGGTATCTCAGAGTTGTTTTAATTTGCATTACTCTATCAAACAAGTATTACTAATAATAAAAAACAATTTACATGATTTTTAGTTATTATCATTTAACATTTACTGAACACCAACAGTTAGCTTTAAAATTCCCAAGTTCCTAAGATCATTTTACTCTTGTATGTGATATAAAAATAATTAAAAATTGGGAGGGAGTAGCATCAGGTTAAAAAAAAACCTGGTCATAGAATAGCAGCCACCGTACCATTATAATTGCTTCCATTTCAAGTTTGCTTGTATTGAGAATATATAATTTCTTGACATAAATTATAGTTGCATTAAATGCTAGAATATTCAAACTATATTACACTGAATATCATAGCATGAGATATGTTTTTTTTTCTTCTTTCTCTGCTTATAGACTATATACAATGGATGGACTTCTTCTGGATGGCTCAAATGACTTGATTGACCACCATTACTATGTTGCATCAGGACTGGAGCCCTTTAAACATTTACCCTACTGGGAAACACAGAAGGTTCCTGAAGACATCAAAGAGTAAGCACATTTTATTCTTTTGTTTTTCAGTGTCTAGGAAAAACTTGTTTTTCAGGATTATTTGAAATTCTTTGAACTGGAATGTGATGATCTTCTTTGGTAAAGAATGATAGCTTGGATTCCTTAAATTTTAGGGATGAGGGATTGAGTGACTGTATTGGCAGGAGTTGATGGGCGTTTCTTTTGTATTTTCGTGAGCGTGTTAGGAAGGCCTTGGATGTGTTGTCTTTGGTCTCCTTAATGACTTGCTAAGTGTCAACGAATGTTAGGATCTAGAGTTCAGAGATAGATTTCCAGGCTGAAATGAAGTCAGATACCCTCTTGACTTATTTCTTATTGTGGTATTAGATAAAAATCAAAACATGAAGTGACCCAGAGTTCATGCAATGGAAAGAGCACTGGATTTGGAGTCTGAAGATCTTAGTTCAAATCTTGGCTCTGCTGCTTCTATGACATTGGACAAGTTGCCTAATCATTTTGGGTCCAACTTCCTCATTTGTAAAATGAGGATGCTGGACTGGATGAACTTTGAAGCCCAGCTTGAAATCTATGATCCTATGACCATTTTAATCTGTTCTTAGGCTAGTCTAGTGGTTACCATGATGATGGAAGAAGCCTGTGGTATATTTTATAGATATTACCATTACTAATTATTGTTATATTCTTTTACATCTTCTTGTAGGGGGTGGTGGTGTTTAGAGCTATGATTTCGTCAGTAAGGAACTCCCCTGCTGAAAATTTTCTCTACCTATATAGTTCTAGAGACCCACCTTAGATTTGCCTATGGCCACACAACTAGAATGTGCTTGAGACAGGACTGGAACCCTAGTTTTCTTGATCCCAAGGCTGGCCCCCATCCACTATATACTATGATGCCTCTCTTTATGTTTTGGGAACTCTTAACTATGAGAGGAAGACCTTGCAAGGTGGAAGTTCAGGAGGCAGAAGAAGCAGTCATTACATCCAGAAAGTCAACTTTGGAACTTCCACTATTTTGGTCTATTTGACTTTCTTGGAATCTCAGGGTGATTATTTCTTAGGGTCTTGATACCTCCCCTCCCTTGCTGTTTGAGAAGTATTTAGGAAGATGGATTCAGAAGGAGTTTCTGAACCATCTGTTTTTCTTATTGTCCAAAATATTTGTGGATTAAATATTTACTATGCATCAATTGGTCAGGCACATTTGGTTGATTGTCCTCTGAGGTCTTTTCCTATTCTAAGATTCTGTGATTTGCCACAGTTTTTGGATTATTTGTGTATAGTGAGGGAAGACTGAATTTGCATTTAAACTGAACATGTTTTTATGAATAAACAATATGGAACTTCAAATCACTGCCTTGCTTTTCTGTTTTCATTTTTTCCTTTTTAATGTAATGCATAGTGATAAAAACCAACACAGTGTAGTGAGTGTAAGACATTTTGTTTGCATAAGTCATTCTGATCTTGGATTAGTGTTAGTGTTCATTGAGTACAAGAAAAACATCTTTTGTAAGTGTTAGCATTGTACTGACTTTATTAGTGTATGTCTAAGATAGTCATTGAAAACTATATTCCCGTTGGCTAGGGATAGATTGTTAAGAATTGGAAGGAGCCTCAGAGGCCATTAATTCCAGCTCCCTCTTCTGAAAGAGGAGGGAGCTGAAGCCACAGAGAGGAAGTGACTTTCATAACGTCATACAACATATTAGTAGCAGAGCTAGCACTCATGAAGGCCTAGGAACAATGGGAAAAAACTGAGGAAAAAAATGACATTTTACTCTCAAAGACTTTATTTATGCTCCCTACTCCCAATTTTGAAAAGGGAAGGGATAGGGCAGGCAAAATCATTCCTCAAATATTTTTGATTGTCATTTAATATCTCTATTCATATTAAACATGATAATTTTATGACTAAAGATACAATACTTTTTTTTTTATTCCTATCCAACAAGGCCACTTTAGATCTCTGAAGGGTGCTAAAAACACTGCATAAATGCTCACATAAGTCTGTGAACTCATTGATTTGGGGTCATACTCCACTGGTACAGATCACGGTCCATCTATCTCTCACCTTGGGTGATTGTCCTCCACATCCTCATACAGAGCCTTCATAGAGGATCCACTTAGCACATGGGATGACTTCCTCTGTTCTTTCTGACATTTTGGATGGAAGACTGCCACACTGGAGTCCAGCAGGGTATCATAGCAGCATAGATTTAGAGCTGTGAGAGACTTAAAAGTCTCCTAGGCCAAGCTTCTCATTTTATGGACAAAGAGTCTGAGGGCGGGGAGATTAAGTCACTTACCCAATAACTCCCAAGTAGTGAGTGGCATAGTGAGCATTTTAATGGAGAACCTCTGACTCCAAAGCCAGAGTTCTTTCCACTGCACCCGCTATGCCTCTGCTATCCTTTGCTTTCACTGCATGCTTAGTTCACCATTTTCTAAGCATAATAACAATAATAATAATAATAATAATAAAAGCTAGCATTTATATAGTATTTTAAAGTTTGTGAGGCACCTTATAAATATCATTGCCTTTTACCCTCACAACAGCCTCGGGAGGTATCCTCATCTGTAAAGCAGAGTTAGATTGAAGTTGATTAAGGGACTTGCCCAATTTCATACATCAAGGAAGTATCTGAGGCAGGATTTAAACTCAGATCTTTCTGCCTCCAGTTCAGCCCTCTATCCACTGCCCTTATTACTTGCTTCAACATTTCAACCACAACAGCAACATCAGCAACAGCAACAGCAACAACAGCAACCACCACAACAACAAAATTAAAAACCACCACCACAGTAGCCACAGATAGCATTTAAGTGTTTACTGTGTGACCAGCACCCTGCTAAGCTTTGAGGACAGTTCTTGCCCTCAAGGAGCTTATAACTGTTGGGAGGAGACAACTTACAAATAACTATGTCCCCAAGACACATTGAGAGTTAAGTGGAAGGTAATCTCCCAGGGAAGGCACTATCAGTGAAGGGAGGTGGATGAGAAAGAGAGAAGGGAACTGAGAAAAGCTTATTACAAGGTGGGAGATTTAAGAAGGAAAGCAAGGAAATAAGCATTTATTAAGCAGTTACCACGTGCCAGGCACTGTCCTAAGCTCTTTACAGATATCACATTTGAGATCCTCCCAACAACTCTGGGCTATTATAAGTGCTATTATTATGATCCCCATTTTACTGTTGAGGAAACTGAAACAGATAGATTAAGTGACTTGTCCAGGGTCACATTACTAGTAAGTTTCTGAGAATATATTTGAACTCAGGTCTTTCCAGTTCCATGCCCTAATCCTAACAGTTTGGCAGAAAAAGGAGGATGGATTGGAGAAGGGACAAACATAAGGCAGAGGAGACCAATTGGAGGCTATTGCAATAGTGTAGGCTTTTATATCACTTTTAAAATATAAGTTAACATTGGTAATATGCTATTTTGTCCACTATTCATCTCTCTACTTACTCTCTGGTTCATCCAAATGGTATTCAATGATTCTCAATATTCTTATTTGGAGAATGTTGGTGTTTAAATGATATTGTTTTTAATTTTAAAATTTCTTACTGATTCCTTTTCATTTCTATATCATATTCATTTCTGAAGGTATTCTCTCCTTCCCTAGATTGCTTGATCCCTGAGATAGAGTAATCTTTTGTAATAAAGAATAGAAAAGAAAGAGAAAAAAGCAGATCAGAAAAAGTAACCACTTATCGACAGAATCTGGCAGTGTATCACATCTGTAATTCTCTACCTCTATGAGATAGGAAGGGAGGCGCATCTTCTCATTTCTTTTAGGCCAAATTTGATCTTTATAATTAGATAGCATTCAGTATTTTTTCTTAAAAACATATTCGAGATGGAAGTATGTTTTTCTTTTTGGTGAGGCAATTGGGGTTAAATGACTTGCCCAGGGTCACACAGCTAGTAAGTGTTATGTGTTTGAGATGGGATTTGAACTCAGGTCCTCCTGATTCCAAGGTCAGAGCTCTATCCACTACACCACCTTGCTGCTCCAAGATGGAAGTTTCAAATCTCAAAAATGTCTATTTTGAATGTCACCTTCCCCTAATGGCTTTAGAAATTTTACATCTTTATATTTCTCTAAAGTAACATTTGGACAGAAGCCCAGAATCCAGATGAGGAACCTTTCTTTTTGAATTTCTGTTGGAACCCAAATGCTTGACTTAGATGATTCAGAATAGCACTAAGACACCAACTTTGTGATCCAATCTAAGTGAATATTGCTAAAAGTCCAACATCCATGAATATTGGATAATTCATATATTGATTACAGATTCAGTCATCTCTGGTGTTCCTTCAAACATTCACATTCATCCTAGAGGCAATGGGAATGCTGGAGCTTTTTGTGCAGGGCAATGACATGGTCAGTTTTAAAAACTTGGGTTTTAGGATTATCTCTTTGGCTACAGTCCCTGTAGTTTATTTTCTTTTTTTGGTTCCTGACTTTGTCATTTGGTATGTTAGCTATCCCTCCAAGCTTTATGTCATTTGAAAATCTGAAAGCATGCCTTCATCTAATTCATTGATAAAATGTTATATAGTATAGGTCCAAGCCTAGATCCCTGGGGCACCCCACTGGAGACTACCTTCCCAGTTGTTATTGAACCATTAATAATTACTCTCTGAATCTAGCATTCCACCAGCACTGAATTCATCTAATGGTATCCTTACATATAGCCCACATTTCTCCATCTTGTCCACAATAATAGCATGGAATTCTTTATTAAATTCATCACTACAATCTAGGTAAACCATATCTGTATTGTTACCCTTATCTACCAATCAAGTAATCAGTCAAAAAAAGGAAACAGGGTTATAACGATTTGTTTGGATGAAGCAATACAAGCTTTTTAAAATCACTTCTTTTTCTACGTGTTCATTACTTGTCTCTTTAATAACCTGGTCAAAAATCTTCCCAAGAAACTGATGTTGATCTTACTGGCTTATAGTTTGTTTGAAAATCAAGACAATGTTTGTCCTTCTCCAGTCTTATGCCATG